TCCCCCCACCTCCCTGTACAGCCCCCTTCCCACTTAGGCTCAATCCCTGGTTCCTTGGGACACTCCAAACACGAATTATTAAAACAAGGAATACTCGCGTGTGCGGCAGGAGACAGACACAGGGGCTACCCTTCTTATGCCCCTAGCCTTCCTCCCCGGTAAAATTGTCGCTTGCTCCTTTCTTCCCTTCTTCTCTCCCTCTTCGCGGTAGAAAATCCTTGGAAGCAGAGATGCGGCTTTTCTCTTTGGTCTTTGCTCCCAGCTCACGTGCTCCGTGATGTCTTTCTCCCGCTCGTGTCATTGCTGAAACCCGCCGTTTTATGCGCTCAGGAGCAGCTCTCGAAAGTGTTTGTAACCGGGGAGGCTCCGGAGCTGCGGGGTGACAGGGGACGCGAGCGGCTGAGCGCGAGAGACGCCGTTTAGAGGGACTTTGGTGTTGCTGCTGTCGTCGTAGCCCTTCCCCTSGGCGGAAGACACGCGGGGCCGGCGATGGGCGCCCCTGGACGGCTTTCCCCTCCTCCCGGCTGACAGGCCCCTTTTAAAGCAGCAGCCAGGAGCCCTGTGGCCCGGGGGGCCCACTGAGCAGGGCGTCAACCTGTGTCCCTCGCTCCTGCCACCTGCACACACTGGGACCAGTATCGATCAAAGCTCGGGGACCAGGGGGAGCTGACAGAATCAGGAGCTTCTGCCTGGCTCCAGCCCTTGCGGGAGTTTCTTCAGGCGAGATTAAAACACTGGTGCATTTCGCTCCCTACCTCCAGCCYCAGGCTGAAGCCCATTTCACCACCCTGCTCCACAGGATCACTCTAAGCTAAGGCTGGGGGGCATGGAGGCAGAACCTCCACCCCCTGATCTGGGCCAGTGCATGGCACTGTACAGCTGTGAKGATGCTTGATGTGAGCATCGAGTCAGGAAGGGACTAGTTTCTTCCTCCCCCAGCCTCCAGTGCCTGCTGTGCATTTTATGTGAAGTCACCTCCAAAGCAGCACAAGAGCCAGAGGCCTTCCCTGCCAAAATCACCTTCTTTTGCGTTGCAGAACCCACCTAAGATGCTTGAGGGGAGATGGGGTGGCTTTTGTATGGGACAGATAGCATGGTGCCTGTGCTGTGCTTTGGCCTTCCCAAAGGCAGTACATTTTATCAGGGTCCTACAGCACCAGGAGAGCCGCCTTGGTTGGGTGCATGGAGAGGGGACAAGCTGCAAAAACTCCCGTCCCTTCCCCTTCCAAAACCTGGGCTGTCTGGRCTCTCAGACAGGGTTTCATATCTGCAGGTTAGTGGCAAGGCAGCAGTAAAAACCTGAGCACCGGCCTCRTCCACTGCCCAGAACCACACTGGACCCGGGCCCGGCATAACTGGCCATGCAGCAGCCTTCATCTGGCCCCTGTGGCACCAGGTTTTGCCTGGGATTTGTGCCAGTCTCAGCTGCAAGGATCTGCAGGTCTGGTGAGGTTTGGGCACAGACATTGTCCCAAGCACTAGGAGAGTGGGCTATCCCTGAGTGAGGGGATGGTTAGCGGATAGGAAGAGCACTGGGGATGAGAAAGGATGTGTTGGGGCTAAGTCAAAGGGACAGGATGCCCATAGGGGTACCCAGAGTTGCCCTACCCCACACTGCTTCCTTCTTCCCTCTCTGCCCTGGCCTGGCTTGGCCTGGTTTAAATTACCTATCCTGAAGAATGTCCCATCACCCCAGCAAGTTGCCTCAGTCTCCCTCCTCCCCAAATGTGATCAGGGATTCATGTGAGATCCCTGGTGGCCACCTGGGAGGGTCCCTCTGAATAAYCCATAGTGGGAGGAGGCTGCCAGACTGCTGCCTGTTTGAACCCCCTGTTTGAGCCCTTAAATAAGGCTTCAGGATGGTCCTTCCAAAGGACCGCACCCATCTGTGCCCCGCACCAGGTCTGGGTGAGCAGCATCGTGGGGAGGCCAGGCCTTGACAGCACTGCCCAGAGCCCCCCAACCAGCCCTTTAGCTGGGTCAGGGTGAGATGGTGGGAGCCCCTGAATGGGAGAGGGATTGGGGGGACACCTGTCCCTGTGCCATGCCATCCCAGGAGGGAGTCCCCATCCTGCAATCTCCTGGCTCTCAGTGCCTCAGAGGCTTCTGTTTTTCAGTCAAGCTGCTGAAATCCTGCAATTGTGAAGGCAGAGGGGAGGGGAAACCACTCAGGCACCTGGCAGAGCCCCCCAGGAGGGGCCTCCTTGCTGTCACTGCCAGCAGTCCCTGCATCCCCAGCTGTGACTGCTGCGACAGGTGCTGYCCCCTCAGAAGGAACCGTCCAGCAGCGAGGAAGCACCCGACGGCGGCTGGGGCAGCCGCRGGCAGGGGTCAGCGCCGCGGGGTGGTCAGAGCCCTTGCTATTTCTATTACCCTTAGCTGGGAGCAGGGGGACATTTCACTTCGCCACGACGGGTGCGAGATGGCAAAACAAATAAATAATGGGGACTGTCCTCCCCATCGGGCAAGAGAAGGGACCTCCAAGCGTGACCAAGGTGCGATCCCGGTGTGGCCCCGACGTGCCTGGAGTCCCCCAGGAACTGTCCAGCAGCAGCGCGGCTCATGGAGAGGGTGACAGAGCCCGTCRGGGACAGGAGGATGGGGGACACCCCCTTCCAGAGCCTGTCCTGGCTGCCCCGACGGCCAGCACCGAGGGCAAGGGCCGCCTGAGCCCTCCCGGCGCCCCCAGTCCGACACGCGTGGGAAAGAGGCTCTGAGATCATCGGCGGGAATAGCTTCGGGAAGGGGGATCTTAGGAAGGGAAAAGAAATCCTTCCCTGCTTTATTTTTATYCCTCCCTCTTTAGATTAGCGCTTGGGATTTTAATGCAATAAGTAAATAAAAAACAAAAATTAAAAGAAAAGAAAAGAAAATCACCCTTTGCGAGCCAGGAAAAATTGTAAGAATTTTACAAGAATGTTCCTTAAAATACTGATCTCGTGAGTGCAGAACGTTTTTTTGTCATTTAAAGCGAGTGTTTCAGTGTGTTTTGCCAGTTTTTCTAGCGCATATGAAATTCGCCCGATCAAAATCAATTTGTGTCATCGATTTTAAGCGTCCGCTATGAATAAAACACTTCTGTAACTCAGCCTAGATATTCACCCTAAAAACTGCTGGAGTGGGAAGCGGGGAAGCTGTGGAAAGCAGAAGGGGGGCGAATGGAGGCCCGAAAATGTCCACAATCGGCTGGATTCCTCGTGGACTTTATTGCCCGTCTGTTGTTGGACGGAGAGGAGCCTCTGGGCGATCTCTGCAGCTGTGAAGAGGGGCTTAAAACGCGCCGAAAATGCAAGATTTTAGGATTATTCTTCGCCTACCCTAGCTGCATTTCTTCAAATGGGTGAAGTGGCTTTTTAGCGATTTGAGGAAATATAGATTAATAAATAAAAGTAAGGTTCGTGGCTCTAACACGACATCTGTCAGCGCCGGGAATTGCGAATAGGAGAGTAAAGAAGAGGTTAAAGCAGCCACGTCTTCATTTAAGAGAGCCTTTAAAGCCATAAACTCATTCTAAACGAGCTGCCTGCAATACTTACACCCGACTACGAGTTCGGGTTTAAATGACAGCCCGTGGCACCCGCACAACTCGCGCCCCTGCAAAGCTGGGGGGGCCGCTGGCTTGATTAAAACGTGGCAATTTGGGACATCGCGGTCGAGTGCGGAGGCAAAGCAAGCAGGAGGCCCACGTTTGCAGACAGAGCAAGAGAAAAAACATTTCCCGGTCAACGTCCTCCTCCCCCCCCCCTTTTAAATAATAATAACAATTATTATTATTATTATTATTATTATCTTTTTCCTTTTTCTTTCATTCTCTCGCTTTTGGAGGCCCGGAGCAATTGCTTTGCAGGCGTCCTCCACCTGAGCCGAAGCTCTCCCAGAGGAATCATCATAAGGAACCTCTAGGCTCCAGGAAAACGATTTTCTTCCAAAAGCAACGAACCTCATGTTTCCCTGCACGCAGGAAAAGCGAGGGGGAGCAAACTTGCAAAAAATAAATAAATAAATAAATAAAAATAAATAAAGGAGAAAAAAAAAAGACCAAATAACATATATATTTACATACACAGAAGCGCCAGACTTGGAGCAGGAAAAAAAAAACAGCATGGATTTATTTTAAGGTAAGTACAACAATTAAGACCACATAAGACAAAAACGAACTTCGAAGCAGATTAAAGCAAATAGTCCTCAGGAATGGTCAAAGTGAAATCTACTATACAAAACATCACACGTTGTAAATAATAATAAAAAAAAGTATCAGATACTTTGTCTTTTTTTTTTCTTTCAAAAATCCACCAGCAAAAATAAATTATTTCCTCGTCTTGAAAAAAAAAAAGAAACCCTAAAAATGAGAGAAATTCTATTGCATAATTGTACACAGAAGAAAAAACAAAGAGCAAGATGAAGAAGAACAGGAAATCACTTGTCATTAATTTGGAAGTTAGAAATTGTTGGGCGACACAAAAATAATCCAGTGAACTCAACTTTAAATATTATATTAACGGCTCTGAAAATTAGCCTGATTAGAAATCCACACATTTTTTACAGCACAACAGAGAACTTAAAAAATACCCAGGACATATAATTATATATATATATTTATATATTTTTTTTTTCTTTTAAATCGTATAACTGGTCGCTGCGGTATTGGTCCATAACTTATTTTCTGAGACTCCCTATACTTTAGCATATAAAATTTGCCACTTTGCTTAGATAAGACATATATATAGACTTTTTAATTTTTTTWAAGACAGATCCCTTTTTTCAAGTAGAATTTACTTGTACGGAATTTAGAGAGGCCCGAAGCAGGGCTTGGGATCTGCAATCTCTGTGGTTCCCAGGTCCACCGAAAGCTTGTCCAATCTTTCCTTTACGCGGTCGGAAGCGTTTGTTTGCCGTTGCATTTTTTATTTTTTCCTCTTGCTTTTTTAAAAATTAATATTATTATTGTCGTTATTTTGTTTTTTTTTTTTTATTATTTTTTAAATTTTTTGCCAATGGCCCTAGGCGGCGGAGTGGCGGCTACTCAATACTTAGTGCAGTCGTAGGAGTAGGGGGTGGCGTGGCGGTATAGGGAGGGCGCGGACCTATAGGGGAGCTGACAGGCGGAGTTGCTGCTCACCTGGTGGTCGCTGAGCGCGGCGCCCTCCACGCCGAGCCGGTGCGAGGTGAACATGTCGCGCACGTTGGGGAAAGTCTGCTGCTGCGAGCCGAACCCGTGCGCGGGCAGGTGGCTCAGCTCCCCGCCGGCGTTGAGGTACCAGGAGGGCTGCGCGGCCGCGGAGGAGCCGCCGCCGCCGTGCGGGTGCCCGGCGCCCAGGGAGCCCTCCTGCCCCGACGGCAGGTTGAGCGCGCCCAGGGGCGACGGGGCGCCCGTGGGCTGCTCCGCCAGGCCCTCCTCGAGCGCCGCGGCGGGCACGCACATGTGGCCCGCCCGCTCGCCGCTGTACAGGCTCATGGCCCGCATGCTGCAGTGGTAGCTCCCACTAGTGTCCAGGGCCTGGCTGCACGCCTGGCTGTAGCCCGACGGCTGCCCCGGCGGGTAGGCGAGCGCCAGGCCGCCCCCGGGCCGCCCCGACGGCGCGTTCAGCGGGCTCAGCTCGGCGGGCGGCGAAGTCCGCAGGGTCATGATGTTCTCCACGCTGAAGCCCGGCAGCCCGTTGCTGGACGGGTGGTGCTCGGGCAGCGAGCCCTCGGGGGAGGCGGAGGGCGGCGAGGCGGCGCTGCGGGGGCTGTCCCGCAACGCGCCGCCGCTCGCCGGGCTCAGCGTCTCCACCTTGGTGATCACGGGCAGCTCCGGCGACGCCGTCTCGCTCTTGATGACCACCTTCTTCTCCGAGGAAGGCGCCGAAGCAGAGGAGGAGGAGGAAGAGGAGGAGGCTTCCTTGGGGATGTCGGCGCCGGGCAGCCCTGCGGGCTTGGGCTGCTCCTTCAGCAGCCGCTCCCGGGCCTCCTCCTTTTCCTTGGACACGTCCTTCTTCTTGAAGCGCCTCCGGCGGCGCAGGAAGCTGCCGTTCTCGAACATGTTGTAGGAGTCCGGGTCGAGGGTCCAGTAGCTGCCCTTGCCCGGCTTCTTGTCGTCGCGGGGCACCTTCACGAAGCACTCGTTGAGCGAGAGGTTGTGGCGGATGCTGTTCTGCCAGCCCTGCTTGTTCTCGCGGTAGAAGGGGAAGCGGTCCATGATGAACTGGTAAATCCCATTGAGCGTGATCTTCTTGTCGGGGGCGTTCTGGATGGCCATGGTGATRAGGGCGATGTAGCTGTAGGGCGGCTTCACGAGGTCCTTGGGGGCGGTGGGCTGGTGCGGGTGGTAGGGCCCGTAGGAGCGCCCCATGCCCGCCGCGTAGGGCTCGCCGTGGCCCGAGTAGACGCTCATGGGGTTGCCCATGCCCCCGTACGTGCCCGCCGTCCGGTAGTAGTTCTGCTCGCTCAGGTAGGGCACCACTCCCAGAGCGTTGGGGTCCGAAACGGAGTAGCGAGCCTGCATCATGGAGCGGGCTTCCCGCGGCGAGGCGACGGGAGCAGAGGAGGARGAGGAAGAGGAGGAAGAAGAGGAGCGATGGGTGCAGGGCCTGAGCCCCGGCGGGGACCCCTCCGCGGAGCAGAGAGGGAGAGAGCGGCCGAGGAAGAGTCTCAGACCGGAGCTAAATCCCAGCGCGTCCTTCAGCAGCGGCACCGCAGCAGCATCCTTCAGGTCGCCGGGGGCAGCGAGGTCTCCGGCGGGCTCTCCCTCTCTCCTTAGCACTGTGCTTGCTATTATATGGACAGAATAATACGTGTCGCGGCGGTGGCAGCAACTGCGGCGGAAAGGGAGGCGGGAGCGGGAAGGGGGGCTGTTCTCGCAGAAAAAAAAAAAAAGAATTTAAAAGGAGGGGGGTGGGAAAAAAAAAAATCCTTGCGAAAACCCAGTTCTTGTCACAAGGGCCACCCGGAGCCTCGCGGAGCCGGCGCGGAGCGGGCGAGCAGCGCTCGGGGCCGCGGAGAGAAGTTTTCAAAACTCCCCGTGCGCCGCGGAGCTTTTAGCGCCCGCCCGCCCCGCCCCCTGCCCGCGCCGCCCGCCAATGGCGAGGCGCGCCCGGGAGGCGCCCGCCAATGGGAGCGCGGCGGGGCGGGCGGGACGCGGCGGCGCGGCGAGAGCATCACGCGCAGGCACGGGGCGCGCACGCACATATACCCACGTATATGCATTTAAACGGGGGTCGCGGGGCTGAGCGCTTCTCCTCACTGCCAAATAAAATATGAAATAAAATAAAGTAAAATGTAAAAGATTTTTTCCCCGTTCTTCCTTTTCTAAAAAGTTTTCCACAAAAAAAGAAAGGATTTAAAAAAAAAAAATGTGCAGGCTGAGGGGTTTCTGCACACCATTAAAAAGAAAAAGAAAAAAACTTTTAAACACCCTAATTTTCAAGCACATTAAATACACCGGTCTCCCTTTGAATGATCGCGGATATGCGGGTAGTGCGGCAATTTYCCGCGTTGCGCTGTTAAAATCCGCGCTTTCCAGCTAACGGCGGTACGGATCGCGCAGGTATTTTTCTTTCCTTTTTTCCCCCATTTTCCCTCTTAAATATATTTATTTTAAAAGAACTAGCGTCTCGAAACCAGTGCTAGCCYACCGGGTCCTGCCCCTGGCCGCCCGTCCCGAGCTGCGCAGGCAGCGGGAGCTCCGCACCCCGCGCCGGCTCCGCAAACCCGCTGCCCTTCGGAGCGGAGAGGGTTTTTTTCCCGCTACTTTCAGGGGCTTTGCGGAAATTTCTTATTCAAGATAAAGCAGAGAAAATAACAGAGTGAACTTTAGGTGTCTCCTTTTTTATTCTTTTTTTTCCCCCCACTCTCTCTTCGTTCCGGCTATTGAGGCGGATTTTCTCGTGCATGTGAAATCCGCCCCTCTGTCTTTCTCTAATGGTTTCATTAGAGGCAATCAGAGTCGCATAATTAGGGACGCATGCTGGCCAAGTGTAAATGCAGGTATTTGGAAAACTGCTGAGAGCTGCCCTGCGCTGCCGGGGAGAAGTGTGGAGCCCAGCGGCGGAGAAACGACGGGAAGAAGCCACGATTTCCCCCTCCCTGCTCCGGAAAAAAAAAAAAAAAAAAAAAAAAAAAAAAAAAAGAGAGAAAGAAAGAAAGAAGAAAGAAAGAAAAAGGAAAAAAAAATGACAAAGGATATATGTATTTTTATATGGTCATTAAAAAATCGATTCCAGCTCAGAGAGACAAGATAAGTTTGAAATGAATTAACTGTCATTTCGGTAGGATTTGTTCCCACTTCCTCCCCCCAAATCCGGCTCCTCCTGGTCTGATTTCCAAGTAGTGATCTTTTGGTTTCTTGCACTGTAATTCAGCCCTTCCCTCCGTGCAATTTGTGGGGCTTAGCAAAGCTTTAAACAAAGTCTTTTTTTTTTTCTTTCCTTTTTTTTTTTTTTTTTTCTCTCCGAATTCAGTTCGAGCTTTTGCTGCCCGCTCAGAGGACAAGTCCCCGCTTCACTCTCAGTCCGCGCCGCGGGGACGCGCGGAGCGAGGCGCGAGCCGTGGGAACCACGGATTGCCCCTAATTGCCGGCGAATTTCTTCACAGGAAAGAAAACGATTTTATGAGATAATCACATAAATATAAAAAGGAAAGGGGCAGATCCTTTAAAAGATTGTGTCACTTAAAATCATCTGCGAGAGAAAATTGCTTGGGAGGTTTTCACTGGAGGCTGTAAAATTGTTACTTAATTTTCATGGAAATAAATGTAAATGAGGAAAGTTTCGTGGACTGACTAAATGTCTTTCTCTTCTTTATTTTTTCTTTTTTTTTTTTTTTTGTGAAAACAAAGAATAATTTTTGCAAACTCTGCTAGTACGACAAGAAACTTTTTAACAATTCTAGAACKACTTCACCTTTTTTATCTTCGGTTTTCAAATAAACCGCATTTCTCATAAAAAAATAGGGCGTTTTCCTAGCATGAATAAACGCTCTGGATTTCTTAAACAAGATAACATTTATAAAAGCCGGGAATGTGTAAATGCAAAAGCCTGAGGAAAGAAACCCCTGTGGAGATCCTAGGACTGTCCTTTCCCAGGAGCCTGCAACTCTCTTGAGAAATAACTTTTACTAAATCTTACCTCTTCTCAGTTGAAAACTTTACCGAGTTTTTATAGAAAGTCAAGGAGCAGCAAAGATCGCTGCAGATGCGAACTTTATACAGCCTGAATCAGTAAATTCGGAAAAGCCCAAACGTCATCTGCAGGGGGGAAAATCATTAAAAAAAGATAAAACAACCAGCTTCCCAAACGAGAGATCGGGAGCAGAGGAGTTTTTCCAAGCAAATGGGCAGAAGGCGTAGGGGAAATTCTGCCTTGTGCCCGGGACGGGCTTTTCCATCGCCCTTCCTCCTGGGAGCCGATTTCTCCGCGCTCCTCCGGCACGCCCGGACGGGGCGGCCGCGGCCTTGGCCTGCGGTGCTCGGTGCTGCCCGTGGGTCTCGGTGCTGCCCGCGGGGCTCGTTGCGCGGTGCTCGGTGCGCGGTTTTCGCGCTGCCGGTGCCCGCGGCGGGCGCAGCGCTCACCTGCGCGGAGGGCGCAACCGCGCGGCGTGTGCTGCCCCCCAGGGGCGGCCGCGGGGGCTGCACCCAACCGGCACCGGCTCCCCCGGGCTTCGGGACCAGTCCCGCGCGGGCACCGGACACGCGTGGGGAGCCGAGCGGCCCGTTCCGCGCGGGGGCGGCAGCGCGGGCGGCTGCTCCCGCCGAGGCTGCGGGTTTCGGGGTGCCCTGCGTGCCTAAGGGGGGAGAGGAGAGAGAGAGGCAGGCAAGAAAGAGGAAAGAGGGGGGATATAGCAAGAGAGAAAGGAGAAAATGGAGAGAGCAAATAAGCAAATAAGTGGGGAGGAAAAAAAAAAGAAATGAGAATAAAGAGACCAAGTAAGGGAGAGGAAAAAACAGGAGAGAAAGAAAGTGGGAAAAAAGGAAAAAAGGGGAAAGTAAAGAAAGAGGGAAATCAGAAACAGAGAGAAAGAGAAATAAAGAAAGAAAATAAAGAAATTTTAAAAAGAAAGATGAAGAAAGATGAAGAAAGAGATGGAGGGAAGGAAGGAAGGAAGGAAGGAAGGAAGGAAGGAAGGAAGGAAGGAAGGAAGGAAGGAAGGACGGACGGACGGACAAGGGAGCTTGCTCTGGCTTGGCAATGCCAACAGTGGCCCTAGTCCACCACTTCTTTCTAGGCCTCTTTGCTAACTTAGGCAACTCCTTAGGCAGGAGCTACCTTCTGCCTCCTGGGTCCTTTTCTAACCTTTGCAAGACAGATTTATTTTATTTTATTTTATTTTATTTTATTTTATTTTATTTTATTTTATTTTATTTTATTTTATTTTATTTTATTTTATCTTAGTGGCTCTTAGCAGTGATTCCAACACCGGGAATGGAATAACCACGTTTACAAGTGATATTGGTGGCCTCATCCACTTCCCTATAAATAGACACTTTCCACTGACATGGACACAGCCAGAACTGAAGGATGTAATGGAGGAGACCCTGGAAAAGCGACTTGGAGCAAACAGGGGGTCCAGACCCATGCAACCAGAGCAGGAAATTTGCAACCCTGAGGKGCAAGCTGGGCCTTGCTTGGAAGCCAGCCTTGCATGGGGGCTGAAGGGAGAGTCTGGGCGSACGGGAACCCCCTGAAGCTCCTAATGCATTAATTGCACCCTCATTCTCTTAATAACCATTAATAACTCGGTCCTTTATGCAAGGAGAGGCTCCTCCTTCACAGAACTCGCTTTGACTTTGTGGCTTTTTTGAGCTCTGCAGGCCACCGTCGCGGTAAGCCGGGAGGGGGAGTGGCCCGACGCCGTGGCTCCTCCCACCGCATGGGTGCACATGGAGGGGGCCGCGGGGCTGCGCGCGGGTGCGCGGGGCGGGGAGGGGGCGCGCCGCAGGGGCGTGGCCTCGGGGGCGCGACCGTTGGGGGCGTGGCCTCAGGGGGCGCGACCTCAGGGGGCGCGACCGTTGGGGGCGTGGCTTCTGTGGGAGCGACCGTTGGGCTGAAGGGGAAAGCGGCGGGGGGGGAGAAATGGCGTCTGTGGTGGCGTCGTCGCTGTTTTGTGCCCTTTTCGGTGGCCCTGAGCGCGTGTCCGCCCGCCCGCAGGTGCCTCCAAGCAGGAYGTCCGGCAGCGGGTGTGGGACCACCTCGAGGCCAGCGGGCTGGCCGCCTTCCCGCGGCCCGTGCACGGCCGCATCCCCAACTTCCAGGTACGGGCAGGGCACGGGGGAACAGCGGCGGCCGTGACACTCTCGTAGCCTTTTGCTTATAGCAATCTATACGCATTCACCGTCTTGAAAGGGAAACCCGCCTCCAGCGCTGTGTCAGGTGCAAGGGAGGTAGAAATTCATGGACGTGTGTGTATTTCCCTGCTCTTTTTCTGAGCCCTGCTCAGGCAGTGGTGAGTGATATATGAGAGTTGACCATAGAAAACACGCCCAAATGAGCAATGTGCCCCTTGCAGTTAAAATGTGAGAAATCAGCCTCCATGCCTGATGACACAGGTTTGAACTCCTTGCTGATGTGCTGTCTTGTGGAAACAGGGTGCCTCCCATGCTGCGACAAGGCTGCTGGGTATGCAGGAATTTGGAGCTGCCCAAACCATAAAAATAAACCCTGACGCTCCCCAGAAGAATGCCCGCTTTCTAACCTTGGAAGTAAGTGAACGTGTTTGCTCATGTCTTTCTTTGTGCAGGGGTCTCACCAGGCTTGTTGCTCTATCAGAGAGCTGGATGCGTTCCACAAAGCGAATGAGATCAAAGTGGATCCTGACAAGCCCCTCGAGGGTGTTCGCCTGGCTGCGCTGCAGGTAACGAGCACCCTTGCACCCCCGAGGAGCACCAGAGCCAGAGTGCAGTTTACACCATCTTCTCGAGCATCTCTCCTGTGAGAGCTTTCCTGGTTCTAAGCCTCGTGAGACTGCTTGTGTGAGGGCGTCTGCCCTTTTGGTAAATGGAAAAGGTGTGCGTAGGCTTTTTGTGAATTAATATGTTTATTTGGAACAAAACTGTGTTCTTATTCCAAGAAATATATGTAGTAGCCYTGCTTCATACTGTCTTATCATTGAATGACTGTGTGACAGACCTGATTCACAGCAATGAGCGTTTGTTAGCTTGTTATTAGGAGAAATTAGTTTGTGTATCATGCTCTTTGATATATCTTGTCATGTGTTTCCTCAAGTTTTACTACACTGAGAGAATTCATCTCCAAGAACTACACAAACAGCATGAATTAATCTATAGCAAATAAGGAAGTTGACTACACGGGACAATAAACTTTTTTTTCCTGGTATATCAATTGTAAGATGATTCCACTATTTGTAATGTGAAATTTTTAAAAAAGCCTCTTTTGCTCCTCAGGCAAGGAAGACGCTGTTGGTTCCAACACCACGTTTGAGAACTGGGCTGTTTAATAGAATTGTTCCACCTCCAGGTGCGACTAAGGAGATGCTACGGATATGTGCTACATCTCAAGTAGGAATCAAAAATAGGGGTGGTCTGAGTTAATATGTAGAAGAGTGGTGRATTACAGCAGTCTAAGTAGACATTGAAATATGAAATTCTGTTCTGCTTTTAGGTTATTCCCATTTTGTTTATGTATCCACCACAAATATTTTTGTTAATACTTAAAAATTTACACAACTATTTTCACCATTATTTTCTTTACTAGTACAGCAGTATCTATGGGACATTATGAGCCACTTTAAAAGATGGCCCTAATCTTTAAACTTGTAGTAAATATTATTTATTCTGCATTTTGAGCTGATGAATTCTAGAAGGAAAATATTTTAGCATGTATAGTTTTTGCTTAAGCTGATTGATAAAATATAAGGTGTACTGTAAAGACAAGATCAGTTCTTTAGAATCCTAAGTGTAAAGAAACGTTAGTTCTCTCATTGGCTTCAATTGGGGTGCCCCTAAGAGTTTTCTTTCAAAATGTGGTATATTGCTGCCCTCTACTGTTAAAATGTCATACTATCCAGCTAGACTCCTTTGGGAACTGATTCTATTCTGTGTTATTTTACGCACATCTTCCTTTTGATGTAAGAATATAACTTATATGAAATGAATAGAGCAGCTATATTGGTTTTATTCCTTGGTTTATCTCCAGCTAAAAGCAGTGAAGTTCCTGCAGTAATCCCATATTCAGTCAAGGATTGTAAACGGATGGTAATTGCTAGTGAGTTTCTTGAGTTTCTTTCTTAGAAGTTCTATTAAAGTCATTAACTAATTAAGCTTTTCAGGGTTGAAAAGCACTTTTGAAAGAGACCTTTCTTTTGACATGCTTCAGGCCTCATATCTCTTCTGTGATCTTTCACCATGTGTCTGTTTCTCCTGCAAACAGGCGTTCTAATGAATAAATGCTATTAGCAAATGGTGTTTACAAAGTGTTGTACAAACAATTCTTACCATGTTGCTGTGAAGTGGGCAGTGAGTGCTGTTCCTGATAAAGCGAGTCAGCCACAAAATTATTTATCTCTTTGCTTTTGAGCTTTAAACTGAAAATATTTGGGGTTTTAATATGAAGATTAGTTTAGGAAAAGGTTGTGTCGGTGTTAAGGTGAATTATGTCACCTGTATCCCTGTATTAAAAGTCCTGACATATAAAACTTAAGATTTTTTTACATATATATATATATATATATATATTATATATATATATAGTTAGGCTGCAGCTTTTCTTTTTTTCTAAATTGAGCTTCATTATCGGTATGTAAGAATTAACTTTAGAATTTGTATCACTCAAATTCCTTAGTGTGTGAAATAGCTCTTATAGCTATCACCCAGTTGATAGCAGTATTGGGGTAAAAAGTTTTGTTTGCCATCATTTTCAAAACGCCCCAACCTGGGGCTTTGAAATCTCTTTTTATAACCTTAATAAAGTCATCTTGCTCACAAGGTGTCCACCTGCCATAGCACTCTCCAAAGTGTGCCAAAATTTTCATGACTGTAGCAGAAAATGTCTCTTCCTCTAAAGAATAACTTTTCAGAAATGTATAATTTTGACTATGCATGAAAGGAACACCTTAAAACTTATTTATCAGACTATTCTTGTTTTCTGTCTCATAGTTTGAAGATTCCATTCTGCAATCCTAAAATTCTGCTTTTGTTGCAGGGTGTAAAAGACTTCAGTGTACCTATAGGTCTTGATGGGAAAGCACGAGTGGACTTGGTGGTTGTAGGATCAGTGGCCGTCTCTGAAAAAGGTACAATGAAGCTTCTCAGAAGGAGGGTTACTTAAATTTTAGCAGGTCGCATATTCCTTTCAGCAGCTCGGGACATCTCTGTGGAACTGGACTGTTATCTTGAGTTCAATCTCTTCTATGTGATAAGTTATTGCTCTCAAAACAGCCAGGGAGGATTAGTGCCTGCTTCCCAGCAATGTCACCAAGAACTGGGCAGATAGCAGTGTGGTTTAGAGCCAGCAGACTTTAATTTAGGCACATGCTTTTGACAGTAACCATCTTCTACACTCGGCTGTTTTATGTTTACTATCACTGTTCTCTTTTGGTTTAGGCTGGAGAATTGGAAAAGGTGAAGGTTATGCAGATATGGAGTATGCAATGATGGTGTCGATGGGTGCAGTCCAGAAGGATACACCTGTAATTACTATTGTGCATGATTGCCAGGTAAGGTGTTCAAAATATTCATTCTCAACAGTTCAAGAATCAGAATGGTGTGCTATGTCATCTGAAGAAGAAACTTGATTGATCTGCCATAACATCTTTGTTKCCACTCTCAGTGAGAGATTTTGATACATTGCAAGGCATCAGGAGTGATGCACAAATTTAGAGAATTTGTTTTTTTAACTACTTACCATATTCCTTGTTCTTTGTAGGTTGTTGACTTTGCAGAAGAGCTTCTTGATGACCATGACTTAACAGTGGATTATATCCTCACTCCGACAAGARCTATCAAGACTAACTGCAAACGATTGAAACCACAGGGAATAATGTGGCATAAGGCAAGTTACTCTGCTACAGGTGACTTATCGACTGAACGTTGATACCCATAAGTACTTATTCTTTCTTCAGTCATTCTGTAGGGAAAATTGGAAATAAAAATATTTGCCTAGTGTTAGAAACATTTGAAAAAGGAACGAATGTGTTTGACATGAAACTGAGAATCATAGAAACATGTTCAGCTGTTTGCAACTGGTAATAGTGAATAGGAAAATTATGGGGTTTTGAAGCTGAGGTTGCTGTATTGAAGAGATTATAGGGTAAGACTCCCAGAAAACATCATATGTGGATATTTAAGGTAGAGGTAGGTTTTTTTGTATTCCTTTGCAGTATAAAAATCTATAGAAGCTGAGCAGCTGCCTTACYTTGTGTCTTATTCCTGAATGCTGAATAAAATTGTTTTTCTTCATTTTTTTTGAAGATACTGTCACAGAGAGAATTTTATGGCATTAGACAGGGTGGAATGGGGGAATATGTGCTCTTTTGTTTCTGTAAGAAAAGCGTGGCCTGGTGGCTGCTCCATTGCTCTATACAGAGTGAGCATATGAGATTGGTTTTCAAATGATGCATTTGTGGCCTTTACCAGAAATTCATTCTGGGAAAACTTTTCATTTGTCATTAGATTTTCATTCCTAAAAATCATTTGGTTAAGGAGCAGATGCAATCCAACATGACTGGGTAATAGTTTGAACCTTAAAATAAGGAATAATGTCCTTTTGTCTTTTGCAAAAAACCACGAGGGAGGTATTAGTGAATCCTTCTAGGGAATTTGGGAGTTAGTTGGCAAGTGCTTAACAAAGAGTAAAAAGTTAAATTTGTTAAGGTGATGTATCTACAACAAACAATTCTAGCTAGTACTATTTTTATTCTGGTGATGGGAGAGCATGTTACCCTGACTGTGGTTGAGGATTTGAGGTTAAAAAATCTCTGTCTGTGTTGGTACATTTTTTCCATTGAATTACTTTTTTGAGAATATTATTGAAAGCAATTGTTTTGAGCGCTTACCCTTCTTGCCCCATGCATCTTGCCAACATACTTCTGATCACACTTTGTGTCAGAATTTGGTCCCAGTGATTGGCTTTGCTAACACTTTTTTTTTTTCCTTTTCTTTCACTTCTGCTACCCTTTGCTAGCTCCTTTTTTCAAAGGTCTGAGGAACACAGTCTCTTGCAGGATCCTTTAATCTTTGTGTAATTTATGCCACTCTTGAAAAGTTGGTCAATCCCTAAGCAATGTGTTACACTTCCTATTACCTTGGCACTTCTGTGCTCTCCAGAGAAAAATTAAATTTCAGTTATGRTATATGCTTCCTAAGCCTGTGAAATATTTTCTATAACTTTGTGCTTCTATATAAAGGTTGAGGAGATGTTTGAAGGAGAAGTTGAATCATACTTAMGGCTTGAGACACTTAATTTTAAAATTTGCATGCCATTATGAATCTATTTTTTTCTATAGTGATCTCTACATTTCTGGGCATTGTCTGAAAAATACAGCTCTTGGCGGGAGCGGAGTATGTTACGTGATTGAGCCTTTATTTAAACGTTTAAATGCTGATTTAACATCTGAAAACTAGAGCATCCAGCTTTTGGCTATTCTCCAGGCCATGATGCGATTAGGTAGGAACATGGAGAACTACTCTTTGGAGTTGGGATAATCCTTACGTTTCCATTGTTTTGGAACAAGAAGTGAGTATCTTGTAAACACGAAGAAGGAAGGAACTTGTGTTTTTTCTTTCACAGGGAACTGAGCAACTTGTGAGTTTGTTTGGTTTGTGGTTGTGGAAGTAATTGTGACCAACTACTGCATGGAGTATCTTGACGGTGGGAGGTCTAGTTAATAGCCAAGGTGTTTAAAAATGCAGGATTGGAGTCTTACTATTTGAGTGTTTATCTGTAGGCTTTTCTTTTCTTTTTTCTTTTCTTTCTTTTTTTTTTCTTTTTGTCTTTCAAATCCAGGCTTTGCTATTACATTCCTGTACCTCTGGGTAAAARTTAAATGAACCAAGAGGCAGAGAGTAAATAAGTACCTTCCTTCTGAATAAGGTGTTTTGTCAACAAAAAAAGTAGCTTAACTGTATTGTTAAGACGTGTGATGCGTAAAACACGTTGCAGTAAAGTTCATCGGGAGGAACATGACTGGATTAAGCAAGACAATGGTTTAAGGGCTTAAATTAAAGAAGTTTGTAAATACGGGATTACTGCTAAGCATTGTTCTAAGGGATGTGCTTTCTGTGAAACTGTTAGGACAAATAGCCAGCTATACACGTGTTCTGTTCAGCTCACAGGTCAACAGATACATAGGCAGCAAACAAAGTGTAAATCTTCAGGTTAAGTTTCCGTGCTCAGAGGGGCACTGTATTTTCTTGGAGTATTTTCGTTTGTTACATAGATAGGAAGCTGCCTGTCAGATACAGAGATAAGTGTAAATAGGTGTTTCTCTGACACCAACAGATTTACAGCTCTTGGAGTAAGTGGTATGATTTGCCCTCAGCTGCTTCCTTCCAGGTCTCCCCAGCACTAAATTTCCAGCTGAGTTATTTCTTGTTTCTTGCTGTTAAGATAGCGGGTTGGGGTTTTTTGTGTGTTTTGTTTTTTCCTAAACAGGAAGATATGAATTGTATGCTGTGATTTTTAGCACAGAAAAACTATTTCTAAGAAAAGCTGGCTTCCGAGTAATATAGCTATTTTATCAAATGCAATATTACTGATGTCAAGGAAGCATTATCAAAGTCAGTGCCAGATGCTCTAGAAATACTCTAAATATGAAGGTAACACTGGAGTGTGTGKGGGGGGGAAGCTTTTTTGAACTGAGTTCAGGGTTTCAAAAACCAGTAAGTGCTGTAGGAGGAGAGCAAAAGCTGCTMAGAACTGAGTGTGCTGGAAAACTTGGCTAATTTATCTGGATACCAATGGAGAATTATTTGGCTTCATCTCCCTTGAAAATCCATCCCATTGTTTCTGGGAACTCTAAATTCATGAAATGGCTTACTTTCTCATGTATTATTTTGTATGGGTAGCCGTGATCTTTATCTGTGATGCCGTCTATTATGTTTGTCACAATTACAAATTTATTTTGTGCTATACTTATTTTAAATTGAAACTCTGCAGACCAATTAAAATATTTGGGGTCATGAAAATGGAAATGAGATTAGCTTGTGGAAAAAATAACTAAAACCTAGCAAGCGTTTCCTTCTCTGTTTCTTTTTTTTTTCTTTTTTTATTCTGACAATTTAGTAGAAGCAGGAGAAGACTTTTTTTTTTCTCCTCCTCCAAATGAAATCCCTGACTGTAATGCTGAAAGGGTTTAATACCTGGTGGTAGAGTCGATATCTGACAACCAGCAGCTTTTGATTCAGTGCTAATGTTGTTTCAGTGTTTAAAAAAAAATCACACACGCGAGCTGGCAAAGTCTCCCGTAGGCCTGCAGCTTGGCCGTAAGAAGAAAACTATTGTCAGTTTAGCCAAGGCTTTTTTTGGAGGGATGGCATGAGCTGGGAGTGCTTCCATGCATGGTTAAACATCTCAACACCTTTGCAAATCCGGCCCTTGTCACAGAGCTCATGGAGACRGTTTTTGCTGATGGATTCCAAATGTGGGTTGCATGAGTTGCCCTCTCCTGAGGGACAGCAGCGGACTTCAGGGGCTGCCAGCTCCCAGAAATATGCCCTGGATTGCCTGCACATATTTGGACATTTTGTGCGAATGAATGATAAAATGTGCGACTGCACTGGCCCGTCCTGGCTGTCTTGGCTTTTGTCTGTGCCACCACTTTAAACCCATGTGAACTCGGTACTCATTGAAACAAGCAGCTAATGAAGGAGATGGCTCAAGAATGGGCTCTGTTCTGGAGGCCTTTTAAGGACCACAGGGTCATGTGTGCTCCAGGGTGGCCAAGGACGCATCATTCCAACCCTTTCAGCTTACTGGCCTCAGGACTCGAAAGGGATCTGCTCTGCTAGAGTCTGCTAGGTCTCCTTCTCAACACTGCAGAGGGTTGAACCACATTTCTGTATGCTCATTTGGGCACAAGGATCAATAGCTTCATGAAGCAGAATTTAACAGCGGATCTAGCGTGCTCTCCATTCTCTAGCTGTCCTCCCTGCATCTGCCGCCCATCAAAACTGCACCGCCTTCACTGCCAGGGAAATCAAAGTGCTGTTTGGCTTGGCCTGCACTGTATCAGGGGTCAGCATTACTCATTCTGTCAGAGGACAAACACATCCTTCATTTTCCCCAGAAAAATATTGAAAGTGGCTATGTTCACTGTTCTGGAATAACAGAGGTTGAGGAGAGCTCTTGAGGTTCCAGCAGAGATGCTGCAGAAGTCTGCCTGCCTCTGTGTGGTTTTGGGATCAAATCAGGTGTCATAAGAGTAGATGCTCAGGGTTAAGTGCTAGAAGATTTGTATTGGCACTCAGCAACCCAAACTTTGTTTTCTTCAGATTTCTGTCACCAAGGGGCCACGTTTCCTTTCTCAGCTCCTTTCCCATAGCTTGGGAATTGTGTGCCAGAAGAATTCATCTACCCTGCTGTCCTCTTTCCCTAAGGCTCTCCCAGCTATGGCAGGGAATAGGCAGGATTGTTAAATGATTAATTGCCTTTGGGGGAGTTATTTTTAACCTGAATCATTTCAGTTACTGAGTTAGAGCGCAGATCCACGAGCGCTTTTGCGTTGGCCAACCCCTGGGGGCTGAAATATGGAACTGGCCTGGTAATTGATGGGCAAAGGATAATAGGAAATTCCTCAGCTGGCTTCACTGCCAAAGCCAATCACTTAACTACATCCCAGCACTCAAAACAAAGTTTACAAACATCAATAAATGGTTTGGCCTAATCCTATGGGAGTGAAAGGAGCAAGGGGAGAAGCTTCAGACACTGGGGCTGCCCAGGTCTGGGCAAAACCCGTGCTAGATCCCCAGTCCCTTAGGTCCTGGCTTAGCTTGAGTCACTAGGCAGGGCTGGGGAGGAGTGACCGGCCGGCACAAGACCAAGAAACGTGCAGCTTGTTTGAAAGAGGGGAGGAATATCTTTGGATGCTCTCCACTTGGAAATAAATCATTGCAATCCTCTACAGCTCACAAGACAAAAGAAACTTTTTGCATGATTGTAATTAGCAACACATTGTGCTACCACAGAAGAGTTCTTTTGTCCGGTGTTTTGCAACTGAGCAGAGCAAGCTTTTCCTCCTCCTGTGCCACCCTCTGGCCCTTTTGTCTCCCGCCCCTGTGCCCCCCAAAAAAGTGGTGAATTGTTTCATTGAATCCCTGCTTTGAAATTCCAAGCTGGTTCTGCCTTTCCATTGTATAAAAACTGGGGGGAAAAGATAAAGCAGAGAAGGGCTTGAAGGCTTTGACCCAGCTGAAAGTTTGCTCTAGACCCCAGTGAAAAGAGCCTTTAAGGCAAATCCTCTGTCTCTTTTTCTGTCAGAAAAATTTCTGTTGACAGTGTCGGAACTCGTCTCATATAGTGGTGTGTTTGTTGTTGTTGCTGTTGTTTTTTCAGGATGTTTTCCATTACAAACAAATATGAGTTTCAAATCTATTGACTTTGTTTCTTTGATATTGCACTTAGTAGGATCTGTACGCAGGGATGGATTTAGGGTGACAATAAGTTCATCTTGTGGTCTTGTTTAACAAGCAGAACTTTAGCTCATAGGCCCTATGGATACACATATATTATTAACTTCCAGAGTTTGTATGGAGCCTGGAACAGTAGCTCCAAGAGCTCTATTGATTTAATGCCCGAAACTGCTGGTCACCTCAATGAGAGGCCACCCTGAAGCCTGGCCAGCTGAAATGTCCTTTCAAGAGCACACTGGCCCCTTGCCTGCCTGCAGCATCTCCTTGATTTTCTCTTGAAGGACTGGAGTTTGACCAGCCTCTCATGCTCTTCTCATTCATTCCTCACTGTACAGGATGATGAGGCCTTGCCCTGGGTAGCGTTGATCYTTCCAAATAAACACCCTGTCTGTGTGTCAGGAATGGAGTTTAATTTGGGGCTGAAGGGAACTACGCATATACTTTGTAATAGGCTGAGGTTGTGTTTTGAACTCAGGAGTGATTAGTTGCAGGAGAATAGAAATATGTTTTTCCTGTTTGGTTTGATTAGCATAGACCTTACATTTCACATAGCAATTTGACAGAGGACAACAAATGTTTCTAGTCGATGGCCAGTAAAAACAAATTAAGATGGTTTCAGCCATTGGTTTGATGTCACCCAGAGAAGGGGAGTTTGCTGTCCAAAGTAGCAGTATAAACTCTTGGCTGAGAAAAACAAATCAGTCTGAGGTTCTGTGGAGCAGTAACTCTTCAAAACTGAGAATGGGCTGTACGTCTCAGAGTGCCAAGCCTCCCGGAGGCCTACGAGAAGTCCTTACCTCTCTGTTCTGGCCATCAGATAGGTTGGTTTTGTATAGAAATTCTTCTCAAGTATAAAGTCTGCTTGTTTAAAGGGTCTAATCCCCCCTAAAAATAGTACCTTCAGATACAGGCMAAATAGTGGCAGGTTCTGCCCATGCTGGTGAGCTCTATTCCTTGTTGGATCTTACATTAACAAGATGGAGGTAGACCAGACTTGATGTAAACATATATTTTTATTTAGGTTCAACCTAAAATCTCCTTTGTTTGCTGCTCTGAAGAGGAGTCCTGGGAACCTTTAGGAAACTTCTTTTCCCTGGCTTTCTTTTTAGCTCAGTCTAACATTCCCTGCACCCTCTTTTCCATTTGACTCCAATCGCTTTCAAAAGTGGGCTCCTTTCCCTGAAGATGATTAAATTGTACACGCTGTGTGGTGCAACTAGATCCAAATTTCCCCCMTATGTGATTATAAACCAAGGAGTTCGGAGGGTCTGAGAAGAGGCAGATCTGACCTGCGATGTGCAGACATGCTAGGCAGGGTCAGCTTGTGCAGTCCGGTACAGCCTGCTGAGAGCCGTGGCTTGAAGTTTGGGTGCATCCCCCATTAGAGAGGGCTGCTCACACTGTGTGGCCCATTAACTTGCTCCCTGCAAGCATGGGCATCTCTTCCCTGCACTCTGTCTTGCTCCCTAAATTTAAGAATTGGGCCCAGTGTTGATGGATGTTCTGCTTGTCCAGCAGCCAAGTCTAAGTTATTCCTCCTTCCAAGTGCAGTCTGCAAGCCAAGAGCTAGACCACATTAGCTGGAGAACCATTGAGTTTCCTGCCAGTCTCTGAGTGCAGCCTGGGGCATCTCATGCCTCAGATGGATAGGGTTCAGCTGCTGAGAGGAAGAACCCTTGCAGAAAAGCTGCTTGTGAACCAGGGCAAGCGGAGGGGCAGGAGGTTTCCAGTGTCAGGACACTCTTCCCCTCCGTGATCCTACGCAGGAGCCCGACGCGGGCTCGGATGAGCGACCATGGGTGCCGCACGAGGTCAGCGGTGAGAGGGGCGGCTGCAGCGACGTGCCACGAGCGGCGAACGTGCTTCCAGCTGGGCCCACACTCGGAGGAGCCCGCTGGAAGGCACGCTCCCCAGCTGCACAGCCGCCCCTCCGTCCCTCCCCGGGACCCAGCCCACGGGATATCCTGTTTAGAGGGGGAAGAAAGCAAGGAGGTCTGCAGAAAGAAAGTGCCTCGTGGTTTCATGAATGGGAGGCAGGCGAGATTTGGCCAGGGTGGCAGCGCAGACTGTCACTCAAAGACAATGTTAATGGCTAACAATAAGAAAGCAGAGCTGAAGGCTCCCTGATAAATTAATGGCAAAATCTAATAACTCCAAGTTTGGATTTGATTTCCCTGCTGGATCTACATTGTGTAGTTTGCATAAAGAGTAACTAATGTTTACTTATTGTCCTACAGTGTATATTTAGGGAGCAATGTCAGAATAAGGCCAGCAATTAGTAACATTTTGAATGGTCTGGCACTCGGAATGGCAGCAGTATAATGAGACTGCCCTGTTTTATGGCAAAAACTACTGCTGATGGTCTTTTCCTTTTTCTGGAAGGAGAGAGAACTCATTTTTAATTTCCTTTTTTTTTTTTTTTTTTAAGGTCAGCTATGAGATGCTTCGAAAAATCCCTATCCTAAAGAGCCTGCGATACAGAGAGAAGCGGGCAGGCAAAGACGTTACCCTCAAGGATGAACATCCAGCCTTTGCAAACCCTGCTAAACCAACAACGTTAAATGAGAAGGCAATGGCTGAAAATACAAGACCGCAGGCTGCAACGGGCTCAGCTCAAACAGGACAACAACATGTTGAAACCAATTCTTTAAGTCCCAGATTAGAGGAATCTGGCACCCTTACTACTGTGTACGTGGGGAATATACCTGCTAGTACAAGAGTGAGCGAGCTGAAATCTGCTTTAAGGGAATTCCATGCGACTCCTTTACGATTGAATTGGCAAGGAGCACAGCACAGGGCTTTTCTCGATTACAAGGATAAAGCCACAGCGGCGAGTGCTGTATCCTCTTTGCAAGGCTTGAGCCTCGGGGGCAAAACACTGCGAGTTGAGCTGGCCAAGAACCAGAGAAATAAAGGACAAGCAGAAATCAATAGTCAGAAATGAATATGAATAGAGGGAAAAATAGGCGGATRTTCATTCTTTCGGGAGAAGCCAACCTAAGTTTTCAAGGATATTAGTATATCCTCTGGTTTCCACAGGCTGAACAGCAGAATGCAAAGCCAACTGTTCAAAAAAATGAGGCCTCGATATCACAGCTGACTTGTGATGACACAGGGCACACGTCTCTAGAAACGCTTACCCACAAAGTACCCACACTTTGTGCTTTCGTTTTGCACTGGTGTGGGGTTGCTCTGCGTTCTGTGCTAAGCCTGGGTCAAAAACAAGCCCTTTGGCACCTGTGTGCAAGCGCATGTAGTAGCAGCTRCAGAGTGCACATGCAGATTTCTACCTTTAAAAAGTTAGCAGCTGATAATGTGTTTCAAGGATACAGTTTTGCTTACGAAGAAATGAGTTTTGCCTGTAGAAGTTTTTTTTTGGGGGGGGGTTCTGTTCTTTTGTTTGTTTTTATAACATAAAAATGAGGCAAGGGTTTTTTGTGCCCTTGAAGCAGTCTGAAATATTGTCTCTGGAGGGCTCAACCATGGAGTTCAGGTAACAGCTATGAACAAAAGAGCATAGACCCTTATCTTAAGGTAAGACCTTTACCTAAGGAATTCTTACCTTAATTCAACCCTCTCTAAACCTCACGCATCTTATTTCAGTCTGGGAGATAAAGCAAATACCAATTTTATTCCCTGACTTTAAGTGCCTCTGTCATGGATGGATAGAATAATAAGCTTTTCCTGATTATTGTCTTTTATAATTAAGTGCAACTCCATTGCCTTCCTGAAATTACATTAATATAAAATTGTAGCAGAGACTAAAAGGAGGCAGATTGGGGTCAAAACTAGTCAGGTACCAAGTTATTTTAAAAGTTATTTGCTGGAGAGCGTAGCAAAGCTTGTTCCTGTTCTGTCTTTTCTGACCACCAGTGTGGTCTTTCTGCACCCAAAGCATCAGAGAGTGGTGAGTGTTACRGAGAGAGCAACACTGGAAAGTTCTCTTTATAGGGAGACACTAACTTTAACAGTAAGACTTGCACACACATGATTATTCACTTAATGAATAAAGCAGAATGATGATTTATTTGGTATGGATTTTATTATATTTTTTTCTTCATTTCCTTATTCTTGAAAAACAAGTTGAATTTTGGCTGAACCATCCTTTCTAAACAGAAGCACTTTTGCCATCGATGCTGGGCACATAGTCAAAATAAGCATCTAAATGGATTTTTCTAAGTATGAGTTGGAAACATTTTTTTTAGTCRGAGGGTACTGTTAAGTATATTTTAAGCACGTTATTATGCCTCAAGGGTCAGACAGGGGTACAGTATTAAATAAAATGTTCTCAGCGTTATCGTGTGCTCTGGGCAGAGCAGCTCAAGGGAAGCTTTGCTTCAGCTTCTTGTAAGGTCAACAAAGAAGGGCCTTCTCAAGAAACGCTGCTCTGTTCTCAGATGCTCTGTTTTCTTCCAGCTCAAAATTATTTTCAGTAGCACTTAGTCTGTATTCAWACATAAGCACTGCAGAGTCCTCTGTCTTGTTTCAGCAGTTGAGCACTTCAGGGGTAAGAGTTGGGTTGTGTTACTGCTTGAACAGACTCGTTACATCATAAGCTTAAAAAGCAGAGGAAAAAAAAAAATCAGACATCACCCCTTCCTCCTGTAAATGACTGCAAATAAAGTGATTATCTGTTATTCTGTTTGACTCTTATAGTACTGCTTGCTTTGGGGAAAGTGCTCAAGTGTGACCTTAGCACTTAAAAATTAGTTTTTTTGCCAATGAAAACTTGCATCATCTGAAACTTACTTCCCTGTTGTATTACAGATGGAACTAGCCTGCTCTGTTCAAATTTGCAGGAATTCCTTACKCTCCCTTATTTCCTCTCAATGTCTGAAGTTTCAATCCAGATAAGAGTAACTACTGTTGATCACAGGGGAGAAGAATGGTTTTGTGTTTTTGATGGAGGAAGAACTAATGAAAAGAACATACATGAAAATACTCTAGCAATTTTTTTTTTCATGTTAATTCAGGTACTGTAGCAAGTCTGG